CTCTCTCTCTCTCTCTCTCTGTTCTGCAGGGTTTGGGGGAGTTTAGATCCTGCGGCCACATGGGCCCCCCGTCTGTTATAGGGCTTTGCGGAGATCGTGACACGCTTCACAAGTGAACATCTCTTCCCACAGTGTGTTTCTCACACACACACACTCTCTCTCTCTCTCTCTCTCGCCAGTGTGCATCGGTAACAGCAGCGGTGTTCTATCGTCGTAAGTCGTTTGGCCGAGTGGCCCGTTCTAGCGCGGCTGCTTTCCTCGCCTTCTCCTGCTCGAAAGCCTTCAGGGATGTCGGGGAGATCCTATTGGAGGGGCCTTGTACAATTCTATACTGTAAAACAATTTGATATAACATGCCATGGCCATGCTAGAAGCTGCAATCATATACCAAAATAAGGTCGAAGGCAGTGGGCTTTTTTCCTTCCTACATAGCTTGGACGAGCCTGCATTGCAGGGTATGTTCAGATGTCACTGCCTTGGAATTTAGGGTTCGGTGGCAAGTGCGAGCTTCTGTGGCGACTGACTATCGCTTCGGCAAACCTTTTCGGAATTCCCTTGCCACGCCTGCTTGGCACGATCCATCCCTGCAGCCGCTTGCCGAGTGTCCTTCGTGAGAGACTCACATGTACAACACATTACGGGCCTGCGTCAACAAGATTTACTCCTCACCCTGTGTCCTGCAGCATATGCCTACAATTCCAGCTGCCAGATCATTCGTCGGAGAAAGCAACATAGATCCCAAGATTCATGCATATCTCCGGAGTATAGAAGACCGAGTAAGCAAGGTCGTCGGTGCTGTTGCGGTCATCGTTGCTGTTGCTGATGCTGCTAAACCCGGGACCCCTCTCCCCAGCCGCACCTGGGGCATGGCTCCCTGGCTCTCGGCGGAGGCCCTGAGTTCGGGGGAAGGTGAGTGAGTCGGGGTTTGAGTATAAGGGTTTAGGGTCCGGGGGCAAAGATGGGCCTTGGGGCTTTCAGTAGGGCTTCACACTCTCACAACTCGGAACAAACCAGGAGACGGTTCAGTGTAGAGCCCTTCCATGAGGGGGAGAGATTTTTGGAGCCTTTTTCGACGGGATGTCGCAATCCAATAGGTCCAAAGCCCAGCAGTTCAAGCAATCACGAGCATTAAAATGCCACACAAGCCCCAACAGATGCAGCTCCCTGACATCGGACTCCCCCTTCAAAAGAGTAAACTAAACCAACCCTAAACCGCCTAAACCCTAAACACTCGGCCTTTGTTTGAACATGACATGACAAGCCAAAACTCGACAACAACAAGGAGCCTCCTGGCTCGCTCCAGGGCGGCTGCTTTGCGAGCCTTCTCCTCCTCAAAGGCCTGAAACGAAGATGGGGTTGTTTGCAAGGGTTTCAGCACTCACAACTGGGACAAGCCGGGCGTGGATTCAAGTACGACGAACGCTCTTTGGCGAGAGCCAGCAGATTCATCGACTCACGAAACTCCACAGGGGCTTTGCGTTGAGGGCCAGCAGAAACAGGGAAAGACTACGTGGGCCTAGGTACTGAAGGTAATCAGAAGTGTGAGTAGGACTCTTTGCGCCATCTTTGCGTGTGTCGGTGATGAGACAACCGATCGTGAAAGAAGTGTGTGCTCGTAGCCTTCTTTTGGTAGAAATGATATAACCAGTGTCTTACAAACGCCGAAGCCTGTCTTGCACGGTCCATGCCCAAATCGCCCTTGGCACCCAAGTCCTGGTCATGCCAGCACCAACATTTCACAGTCATGCATCCCGCCCAGCCCATGCGAGACAGCACATAGGCCAACCACTGTCCTGCCGCATATCCGCCCCACCACGGCTGGGGTGGCCATTCTCGGCGGCCGCCCTTGCGCAATGGAATTTGCAAGGCAGGGTACTCGAGGTGAAGGCTCGACTGTGCCCTGATCAGCCTCCGGGCCCGGTCCAAAGCTGCGGCTTTCCTGGCTTTCTCTTCCTCGAAGGCCTTCGAGCGTGGTGTGAAGGGTGTCGGTATTACATGGACTTTCTTGCAGGTTGTATGCCCTGGAATATGAAAGTTTTCAGGTAGGAAATGCCCGGCTTGCTGGATCAGCTGAGAAGACCTTCCACGATCTTCAAGGGTGCAGTGCTGGTGCTGGCAAAAATCTTCGACTCTTCGAGTCAACCAACCCCGAGAACCTGGCAGCTGGGTTCCCTGAGACCGACTGAGCCGGAATGTCTTTCGGCAACCGGCTTCTTGAGTCTTATAGTCAAGTGAAAGACTTGGCTGATAGTCCTTCAGCCCCAGCTTAGGATCCTTCTCCTGCCGCCCCAGCGCCGATGTTGATAATAACGGTGGGTACAAGTATTTCATGATCAAACACTGTCTTGCTGCTGTGTTGATTTTTATCTCTGTCGTCCACCTGCTTCGCCCTGTCCACACCGCCGTCGTGGTTGGATCCATCCTGAATACAACAGGGACCCAAAAAATCAAAATGACAGTCAAAAACGTCGGGGCAACGACAACAGGAACCGCAGTCATAAGCAACAAGCTGCTGACTTATTGAGCCGTGGCCGCAGGCCGCGTGTAATAATACTTTTGTGGACATACTAAGTCATTACACGGCTCTAGCATTTCCGACGACGACGACCTGAATCTGTCGCAGCTGAGTCTGCCTGGCCCTGTGCTGCAGCGCGGGCTGCCCGGGCTTTGTCCAGCGCTGCGGCCTTCTCTGACGTCAGATCATGCAACAGCCAAAGCTTGAACAAAATCGAGCTTTCAGGCTGACCATGCCGCGCATCTTCCGAAAAGTCGCGTGAAGCGGGCTTCAAACACAGGCCTTGCGAGCTTTCTCGTCGGCGAAAGCCTTCCGAGCCTTCCAGCAAAGTCGCTTGGATGGTATGCATTTTAGCTGATTTCGACCGGCTGTCTTGCAAGTATTCGTAAGCCGCCATGCAAACTGCTCGCTGCGGCTTCTCCAAGCCATGCCCAGCCCGGAGGAACATCATTCTGATGATGTCTCTTCACATCTTTGCCTTCTCGATGCTGGAGTCCGGTGGAGCCTCCTCCTCCTTCGACTGGCCTGCCCAAACACAACTTCTTTCAGATGTCCCAAAGGATCCAAAGGTGTAACAAAAACCGAGCCCGCGTGGACATGTTATTCAACTACTTTAACGGCAGTTCAATCATAAGGAGAAATTGAATCCTACACGTAAGAGCCTTATTTCCAAGACGCGTGGTAGAAACATTCCTGATTTCAAGAATCATGTGGCTTAGAAGGCGAATCATCCGACGCAAGAGCACAACTCCGACCGTCACAACCCCTGGCCACAGGGAATCAATCTGAGGCGCTAGCACCAGGAGCATCATGACCGGACCCCAACTATGAGCAGCAACGCCAGACCACAACGACCCCCAGTTCCATTTCCGCAGAAGCGAGAGCGACGAGTGTTGGCTGCAGTAGCTCAGCAATCAGAACTGCCTTCGGAGGGGCCGAAATCTGAAGCTCGACTGCTCCCGGCCTTCCGATGGGTCTGCCTGGCCGGCTTCCCGCACCCTCGCGCGGGCCTCATCTGTTAGGGAGTAGGATAAGTCTCCTTCAGACTTGACCGTGGATACCTATGACTATCTCTCACTCCATCTCTGGCGCACATGCATGCAATGCATGCATGTATATACTTCTAGCAACCTAGTTTGTTGCCTCCTGGTACCCGCCAGGCAGTCTCAGCTAGCTCAGCACAACTGTCATTCCATCCACCCGGCCCCAGCAGTCACGAAGCTTGTCAACGCCGAACATGCGGCTCAAAAGATGCTCGAGGGTCAGAGGCTGCTGCAGGGCTGTATATGTATGTATGTATGTATGTATATATATATATATAGGTGCATGTTTGTGTATGTAATATGTATATACATATTCACAGACACACTGTGTGTATATATGTATATACATACACACATATATATACGCACAAAGCAGAAGTGGGTGCTCTGCAGAATTAAAAGTACATACATAGACATCTACACATAATGACATATATGTATATATATATATAATATAATATATATATATATGATATATATATAATATGCATTACACACACATACATACATTCATACATACACTACATACATAGATACATACATGCATGCAAACATACATGCTTACATACATACACACATACATACATACCTACATACCTACGTACATACATACATACATACCTACCTACGTACGTACGTACAGGTGTGTCTGCGAAAAAGTAATGCCGGCAAGAGTGCCGTTGCTTTGGCGCTTGTCCTCCTGCGTCCCGTGCCACATTCACAACTAGCCGAGCGACCCGTTCCAGTGCCGCTGCCTTCCTGGCCTTCTCCTGCTCGAAAGCCTTCGAAAGAAGTCGAAGACGGAGGGCTGGGAGTTTAGTTGTCGGGATTTTGAGGGACGCTAAACGCCGCAAGGCTGAAGAAGACCTCCCGACAGCTTACAGCACTGACTGAGTTCCTCGGCGACGCTCGCTCTGCTAGCACTTGTGATTCGTGTACAGCGCCTGCTTGGCACGATCCATTCCTGCGGCGGCCCCTTGGCGAGTGTCCTTCAATGGCGAAAGGACTGTGGCTGGTCTTGTTGAACGTGCAGATGTACAAGACAATACATTGATAGCCTTGCATGCACAAGAAGTACGGCTTGGGCTCGTGTCCTGCTTGAAATGCCTCATGGCACAGTATGTGTCTGCAAAGCCCCCAAGCGTTCGATGACGTTGATACGACTTCATCTGCGACTCCCTCACGGCCGGCGCACTCGCATAAACGTAGAGCACCAAGTACTTCTACATGTCACAACGATTAGGCGGTCATGATTGTTGAGACTTCCGTTGTTGCAACAAGAGCGAGCTTAGAGGTATCCGAACCCGCTCACCAGCCACACCGCCCTCGCCTGGGCGGTGGCCGTGGCTCCCTGGTTCTCGGCAGAGGCCCTGTGCCGAAACTTCAAATTTG